CACTGCTAAGGCCTTTCCTAAATATTCTGAACAAAATTCTATAGCTTCTTCTGCAATATACCTTTCAACAATAGAAGCTTCAGGTCTGTATGAATTCTTTGTATACCCTTTGAAGATCTTCATACATCGCTCAATTGGGTACATCCACCTCAAATAAATCGGACCATAGAGTCTTATCTCTCTTACAAGATGAACTATTAAGTGCACCATAATGTCAAAAAATGATGGAGGAAAATACATCTTCAACTGACATATAACCACAACTTCATTTTTCAACTGCCCCAATGATTTCTCATCAACTACCTTGGCACATATAACATTGAAGAAGAAACAAAGAAGCATAATTGCATGTCGTACATTCTTTGGCAATATGTCACGTACAACGACAGGTAAGAGTTGTTGTATCAAAACATGACAATCATGCGACTTCAACCCAACTAGCTCTAGATCTTTCATAGACACAAAACTCTTAATATTTGAAAAGTATCATTGTGGAAATTTAATACTATGAAGACACTAACATAAACTAGTATTCTCCTTCTTTGACAATGTGTGACAGGTTGGTGGTAAATATGGTCTCTTGCCTTCAGGTCTTGGATGTAATTCTGGACGTATTCCCAATTCACAGAGATCTTGATGAGCATTGACTCCATCCTTTGTTTTTCCTTTAATGTTCAACAGTGTGCCAATGAGACTATCACATACATTCTTCTCCACATGCATAAAATCAATGCAAAGTCTCACATCTAGATGACTCCAATATGGAAGGTCAAAGAAAATTGACCTCTTTCCACAACCTTTTATCAGACGACTGTTTTTTAGTCTTTCCAAAGACAACATTAATGTTTCTAACCCGTTCATAAACTTGTCCACCAGTTAAAGGTTGTTTGGCAATTTTATCTTCCTGCTGACCATCAAAAGCTTTCTTCAGTCTTCGATATGGGTGGTTATGTGGAAGAAATTTTTTGTGTCTATTATACACTGTCTTTTTTCCATGCTTCAATTGTAGAAAACTTGTATCTTCCTCACAAATAGGACAAGTATGATGACCCTTGACACTATACCCACTCAAGTTTCCATATGTTGGGAAGTCATTGATGGTACAAAATAACATTGTATGTAACTTGAAGCTCTGCTGCTGATAGGCATCAAACACCTCCACTCCTTCCTCCCACAATAGCCTTAAGTCATCTATTAACGGACTTAGATACACATCTATGTCATTACCCGACTGTCTTGGACCTACAATCATCATGGATAACATCACGTACTTGCGCTTGAAAATCAACCAATGTGGAAGGTTGTAAATCACTAAAAGAACTGGCCATGAGTTGTGATTACTGGTTAAGTTACCAAAAGGATTCATGTCATCTATGGCTAGTCCAAGTCTAAGATTTCTTGCATCACTGCCAAAACTTGGAAATAGGCAGTCAATTTTCTTCTACTGTGGAGAATCGGCCGGATGGCGAAGCAATCCATCATGTTTTTTTGCAGTTGAATGTCATATAATATTCTTAGCATCTTCTCCATTGGTAAACAATCGCTTAAATCTTGGAATTATTGAAGATACCATATAACTTTTGCAGGAGGTATCTTTTTATCAATATATTCAATGGTATCATCCCCGTCTTTCACTTTGTAACGCGATACACCATATCTTGGACACTCATGTAGGCTTTCAAACTCTTTTCTGTATAATACACAATCATTAAGACAAGCGTGTATCTTTTTATACTCTAAATCCATTGGACAAAGTATTTTTTTTGCTTCATACATATGATCAGGTAAGGTGTTATCGTTTGGGAGCATATCTTTCAAAACTTGTAGTAACTCAGTGAAACTTTTATCACTCCAACCAAATTTTGCCTTCAAATTGACCAATCTCAATACAGCTGACAATCGCGTGAATGTTGTACATCCAGCATACAGAGGTGTCTTTGAATCTATCTTCAATTTATCATAGACAGGAGCATGTGCTTGCAGAAAATTCTCTTGACCCACATCATGAATCATGTCTTCTATTTGATCTTCCATTGTCACATCCTCCTCTTGCTCAGCTTGTGTTACCACTGGAATATCAATCACTTCACCATGCCATGTCCATATGATATAATTCTTCATTATCTCATCGCATAAAAGATGTTCCCGTATTGTTTCTAGTGTCTATACTCTCCCATTAACATAGTTAACGCATGGACAATACAATTTTCCATTAACCTTGGTGCCATTGTGTTCGGCAAATCGTAAAAATTCTTCGACTCCATTCTCATACTCTTCTGATATACGACTTACATTTAACCAACTTTGATCCATTTTGGAATTGGAGTCTACAAATGGGAAACCAATAAAACGATTAATACTAATAATCGTTATCTTTAATGAAATTTATACAAAACTAAATTAATTTCTAACGAAAATTCAGCAGAATTTCATCTATTTTTTAGTAAAAACCAAATTTTTAAAAATTAAAATCATAGAGCCCCACGGACACAATATCATACACAATTTATATCGTCACAATTTTGTTACTACCATCACTTATATAATTACATTGCTATATGTAGTTTTCATAATTCACACTTAATGATTAATTTCTAACGAAAATTCGGTAGAGTTTCCTTTGTTTTTTGGCAAAAACCAAAGATGACACAGTGAAACCTGCCAATAAAAAGCCCCACGGGCACATTCAAACAGTCCAAGTATAATTCTAGGCATCATTATCGCTATTAAAAAGCCCCTCGGGCACATTTCAAACCAGCCAAGCCTAATTCAATGCAAATCATCTCCATAAAAATATATAGTTTTTTACATAGTAGTATCATAGCAGAATTCTCCCAAAGCATCATCATTTATTGGCATATACTTTTTACAATATCTTTCTTCTATTTGTCTTTCTGAATGATCCAAAACCAGGTATAATAGTTATACAATTGATGTCCCTAAACGCTCCTAAAACATAAGTTAATTAATATCCATCTATATTTGATAAGAGTGCAGTAACATGAATTAATGAAAAGGAATTTTCAACAAAAATATCTATTCAATCCTAAAACCATTGGTTTTGGATAAACAAAACGATCAGACATTTTTATTTACAACATTGGAAAGCTTGTGTCATGTGTATAGACATGGTCAAGAATGTTGGTGTTTACGTAAGTAGTTACCTAAATTTGTTTTTTTTTTCTCCAAAATGGATCACATACATACACACCCTCTCTGTATACGTTTCTTATTTGACTTTTTATATTAGGAACACCAACAACCCTTTTCTCACGCTCATGTCATCCACGATATCCCATACTTGTTGTTGTTGTTTCTTATAATATGTAATTGTATAAAGAAACACGTATCTTTCATACTCTCCTACATTTCATTTCTCATCCTTTGTCTTGGTACATTGCCGAGAGTGAAGACATACTCATTCTCTGGAAAAATCTTTACATTCCTACAGAAAAAAAGAAGAAGTGCAAGAGCATCATACCTGAGGGTTAGGGCAACAATGGAGGTGCGCACCAGAGAGAGAGAGAGAGAGAGAGAGAGAGAGAGCAGCGATGATTGACCCTCCCACCTAGGCTGTGATGGGGGTGGAGGCTACGGTGACTGGCGTCGCAGAGGGGCTAAGGCTGTCGGTGAGTGGCTAGGGTGAGATCGCGAGTCATTGGTAGTGAGGGTGGAGGTTGCGGTGGTTTAATCGCGCGCTCTAGGGTGCGCGGTGGCGAGGTGAGGGTGTTTGGAGAGTGAAAATGAGGGTGAGACAAGGGGGAGCGTGGTGCGACTTTGGCTAACAAGAGGGTGGTTGGTGGTGGCCGTGAGAGGGATGGTCGTGAGAGGGATGGCCGTGAGAGTGGATGACCCTGACGATGGTGGAGAGTAAATGGGTTTTCAAGCCGCAACGAGGAGATAGTGAAATCTCTTGGAGATGTATCCTTTCAAGCCGAAAAAATGGGTTTTCAATGTCGGTTATACCCTCAATTGACGTCGAAATCCCTTGCAGAAGGGTTTTCAACGTCGGTTATACCCACAACCGACGTCGAAAGCCTTGAAGTATGACTTTTCCACGTTGGGTATACTAAAACCGACGTAAAATATCATATATAACATCGGTTGTATAAAAATCGACATAGAATGTGTTCAAAATTCAACTTTCAATTTTGTTTTTTAACCAATCGACGTTAAAAATATATTTAACGTCGTCTCAGATTTAACCGACGTTAAATGATGACATGGAAAACATATTATGTAGTAGTGATTAAAGTATATTAAAAATAAAAAAAATATCTTTTTATTATTCTTGTACTACTACAATAAAAAAATGTGTTAGGTTACCTAAAAAATGACGAAATAAGTTTGTAGTTTTAGTCTATTAGTTTATTTTGTTTATAGTCAAGGATGAGATAAGACAAATTGACTCGTTGACTTACTTTAAAAAAAATATATTAAAATAAAAAAATAATAATTAAAAATATTATATTTTTTTTCATGTTAAAATATATAAATATATTTTAATATTATAATTTAATATATAAATATTAAATCAATTAAGTTTAAATTATGGACTATAATTAATTTTTTTAATATATAAATATAATAATTTTTTTAATTTATCTAATGAAAATATTAATTAATAAATAAAATCTTAAAAATTACTCCTATAATTAAAAATGTATTTTTTTTAAAAGTATATATATAAAAGATATTGACGGATTGATCCGCTCTGTTCTGATTAAGGCATATAGATTCACTTTATCCTATTTTTGATGAATAAGAGCCATGACAAATCAAAATGAGATTAAATGACCATTTTAACATCTTACTTGCCACGATTCATTAAAACTATCATCCCATATCATTTCTTTCATTGCTCCAATCATTAATCTGAATTTAGCCACATACCTTTTCTTATTTATATTTTGTTTTTTTTTATATATGATTAATTAAAATTAGGATAAATCAATACTAGTTCATAAACATTATTCCTTATCTCTAACTTCCTTTTGCAGGTATTCAAAACGTGCCAAGGTTAAAAGTGTTAGACTTAAGCAACAATAATTTATACGGTTCAATTGAAGGTAATATCACACACTTGCATAAATTTGGGTTCATATTACATACATACCAAAACTTCATACATTGTTATTTAGAGTATAGTAATATTGGGATGATTAACTATAGATATAAATGTTTGTGAGAGGATACCTCAATTATAGTTAATAATAGCTTTCAATCTTAATATTCCTTAACATTTAATAGCATAATATGAACTTTAATTATTTTGCTCTAGTTAAGGTCCATTTTTCTCATTATGTCCATAACTTTATTGTTTGTTGACAGGATTATGTGAATTGCAAGACCTTAGAGAGCTAGGTCTCAGCTCAAATATGTTTAGCGATCAAATTCCAGAGTGTTTAAGCATGTTAAGAAGCCTCCAAGTCCTTGATCTTTCTCAAAATCAATTCAGTGGCAATTTTCCATCCTTCATTACCAACATGACATCCCTGTTCTACTTGTCTCTCTTTGACAATCACCTAGAAGGCACATTTTCTCTGAGCAATTTGTCTAACCATTCAGAACTTCAGGTTCTATATATTTCTTCAACAAGCCCTAAAGCTCTAGTTGAAACTGAAAAAACACAATGGTTTCCAACTTTTCAATTGAAGTCTCTCATCCTTCGAAGTTGCAACTTAAACTTGGGTGAAGGAAGTGTTGTTCCTAGTTTTCTTCAATATCAAAAAGAATTGCAATTTGTCGACCTCTCGCACAACAAACTGGTTGGAGCATTTCCAAATTGGTTGATGCAAAATAACTCAAGACTCCAATATTTCTCAGTCACAAATAACTTACTTTCTGGAAACCTTCAATTGTCTTCCATAAGACAAGACATAACTTGCCTAGATATCTCAGACAACAACATTTCTGGTTCACTCCCAGAAGATATTGGTACATTTCTTCCTATGATTAGGCGTTTAAATCTGTCAATGAACAATTTTGGAGGAAGTATACCCACTTCAATTAGTAAGATGCAGGGACTTTCCTCCTTGGATTTGTCTCACAATCACTTCTCAGGTGAATTACCCGAACAACTATCAACAGGTTGCATTAGTCTCCAAAAATTATGGCTTTCCAACAACCTTTTTCATGGGAATATTCATAAGTTTCCTATTTTTATAAATTTGTTTGAGCTGTTTGTCAATAATAATAACCTCAATTGCACTCTAGAAGAAGTATTGGAAAATTTAAATGGTAGAGGATTGATGATTTTAGACATATCCCACAATTCAATCTCAGGCTCAATTCCTAGTTCAATTGCAAAGTTGTCACTAGTGCAGATCCTTCTTATGGGAAATAACCAGTTGGAAGGTGAGATCCCTTTTGAGCTCTCCAACCTAGCAATGCTTTTTATGTTGGATCTTTCACACAATAGGTTATCAGGGTCAATCTCACATCTTAATCCATCAATCATCAGGTTCTTGTATCTGCAAAAGAATGCTTTCTCAGGGTCCATACCTCCCACATTCTCAGAGGGCTTAAGCCTAGTAACTCTAGACTTGAGTGATAATAATTTTTCTGGAAATATTCCCTACTGGATTCATAAGTTGTCAGATTTGCGAGCGCTTTCACTTGGAGGGAATAATTTTTCTGGTCATATCCCAATTCAGCTATGCCAATTACAAAAAATCAGCATCATGCAATTTTCACACAATAAGCTCGAGGGTTCAATACCATCTTGCTTCAACAACTTGTCATTTGGACCAAGAGAAAATTATGATTCCTTCCCTTCATTTGGTTTCCCAATCATGATCGCCAAATCACCAATAGGATCTTTGGTTAATGTCAGTGTTTCAGTGTTTATGCCTTCAACTGATGTTGAAAAGGAAGACATAAATGCTATTGTTGAAGTTAGAACAAAGAACAATTTTTACACTTACAGAGGCACCAACCTGGAGATGATGACTGGATTGGATTTATCATGCAATATGTTAACAGGTAGCATCCCAGTTCAAATTGGAAACTTGCAAAAAGTTCGAGCCCTAAACCTATCCCATAACTACTTGTCTGGTTCCATTCCAAATTCTTTTTCTAATCTTTCCCAGATTGAGAGCCTTGACTTATCCTACAACAACTTGAGTGGTGAGATACCTTCTCAAATGATCAAGTTGAACACTTTGGCAATCTTCAATGTATCATACAATAATCTTTCTGGAGTTATCCCTAGTTCAGGACAATTTGGAACCTTTATTGAAGACAGCTACATTGGAAATCCTTTTCTTTGTGGAAAAAACCTGAAGCAGAAGTGTGAAGCTTCATCTCGTCCATCACAATTTAATGACACTGAAGGAAAGGAAACTGTGATAGACATGGTAGCATTCTATTGGACTTTCTCGGCATCTTACACAACAATATTGTTGTGCTTCACAGTAGTGCTATATGTCAATCCTTCTTGGCGCATGACCTGGTTTTATGTCATTGCTAAGATTATACATACATGTTTTCCAACTCTTCCTTTGTATTGAACTGTAAGCTTGATAATATTATAGGAAAGAAAAACAAAAAAACCATTCTCGGACATTGTGAAGAATTCGCATTTAATAACATGCTTTATATTGATTATCATAATTTTTTATACCATTATTATTTCAAGATTATTAACATTCTAATGTCTTGTATGATACTATGTAAAAAGTATATTTTTTTTGTCATCAAGAAAAAAATATAATTTATATCTATATTATATTTTTTCTCTATTTCTTTTAACTATGTGTTTCCTTAATCTTTGCTCGAATATAAAATAATTAAAAAAAATATTCTTACATTAAATTTTGTTAAATTAAAATAAGATAAATAAAAGTTTAAAAAATTGATTATTGAATTTCATCATCTTGTAACCATTGAATTTAATATTGTTTATTTTTTTTCATAAATTATTGAATTTCGTTATCTCATTTCATTAAGAAATAATTAGTCTGTTTATTTTATTTATCATATTTAATAAAAAATGTTTTTTTTAACTGTCACATTTCAAAATTCAATATAGTCTTAATTGTGTTTATCAATTAACCTTGCATTTACAATTAATATTTATGATTTAAATTGACAAATAAGAGAGCTAAATAATACAAGAGAAATATTCATTTAAAATTTTAATAGAATAAAAAATTATTATGTTCTAAATATCTGTATGAAAAAATTGCGATTCATTATTATTTGTGCTACTTATAAATTGATAGATAAGTTAATTAATTTTTATAAATTATTTCATTATTTTAAAATTACAATTTCACTTTTTTATGCGATTCTATATTATAAAAAGTGCAAACATGACGGAAAAATAAAAATAAAAATTTAAGAAGAATAATGAAAATTATGACAAATAAACATTGTAAAAAATATTTTTATTTTTATTTTAGATTTCTTATTTGGTAGAATTTTTTTTTCAATTATAATCAATCAATGATGACAAGTTATTCAATAATTACTGGTTATAGCTCATAACTTATTAGTAGATATACATATTGATGAAAGGATAATTGAACCCATCATTTACATCATTCTTTACCTATATATTTGTGTATAAAGATTTCCTAAACACATCGTTATATATATCAACGAATATATTCGTTAATACTTGATTAATTATTAAAATAATTTATCAATGAAAATTATATTAATTAATTTGATTTAATTTAATTCAAAAATGATTTAATATGAACTAAAAATAGTATGAAAGTTTGAAAAATAAATAAATGCATCAAATTTTAAAAAAATAATAATGTTTAAACCTATAAAATTGATTGAAAATACACATAAATAACTAAAATCTTAAATAAAATATTTTATTATTTCTAATATTATTTTATAAGTATAATATTATTGTTATTATGTTAATGTTATCATTTATCATGCTTTTATTGTTATTGTTTGTCCTTTCATTATTATTGTTGTTAAAAATGTTCTTGGTTTTATTATTCTTGAAAAAAAAAAAGTTTGTTCATTGAAAGTACCCACACTATTGCACCAAAAAAAAAAAAAGATTGAAACTCACAATTCAATCAATCATTATTCTTCATTGGTTGATGAATCTCTTTATTTATAGAAAATTGTTCTTTAAATTTATTCATCTCTTGCAAGTTATATGAGATGTAGAATGTTAAAATATGATGCTTGAGACTATCATTCTCATTTTGATAATTACAAACAAGATCTCTAGCTTCATAAAATCATTCATTATTTTTTATTCAAACTATGTCTACTCAAAATTGAGATTTGATAATGTTTAAGAGCGTAAAGTATGTTCTGTCAACATCAACTACCAACCTAAATTTTGATAGGCTATTCTTGATTTTTACCAACTTCTTTATAAAGAATTGTTAGAAAGTAGCGTCTCATTGAATATCCTATATGGAGAATTATTTTGCTTGTGTTTTTATTTCTTTAAAAACTCATTCTTGAAGCTAAGGTAACAGTTAATAATACTTGATATTTTTAGTCTCAATTATTAACTGATATTGTTAGTCTCAAGGGAAATTAGGAAATGATAACTAGAAATAACTTGATGTACTTATTATAACCTAAAGTAATATTAAGAATATTTGGTGATAATATCATTGATTATACGAAACCCTTAAGTGTTTCTTAAAGAAGAATTAGATATAATCTAAGAATTGAGTTTAACTAGTATAAGTAAATGTTTTTATATATTATTTAGCTATCTCAGTTATATATTTCACACTTTGTATACTATTTTTTAAAGAACTCTTAATTTGTTATAAAATGTTATTCGATGCATTATTATTTTCTATGGAAATACAAATTAACCCTAAAAAAGGAGATTGAATAAAACTCTTAATTTTTATTTTGCAAATGGGTATAAATTGATTTTTAGAATTGTCCAATCCCCGTGGATGGTATTGTGTGATATTATTATAATGTATCGCCTCATAGTAAATTTAATAAGATGACATGGAGACCGTTTGAAGTTTTCAAAAATGTAAAAATTTAATAATGAATAAGATATGTATAGAAATAAGTTCTCACCGTAATCAAAAGTGCCAAAATCTCCTTTAAGATCAATTAAAGAGTTTTACCAAATCACTTCCAAGCAGTAATTATACCAAGCACTATAAACGAGTATATCAGGTTGACTCATTTTCGAAATTTATATTATTTCTCTTCTACAGCACTTTCATCTTACAATTTTGGAAAAAATTGATTTTATATTTTTTTTATCAATTTATCTTACAACTTTATACTTTTTTGAAATTATGTGATTTTAAATTTGTATTCTAAAATTTTTTTATTAACAATTTTTTTAACTCAACGAATTAATAAAATTTTTAAGTATGTCAAACCTAATAAAATATGGTTTTTGCCTTATAAAACTTTATATATAAGGTTATAAAACATCTCCCTTGTAAGAGGGAAAACTTTTTCGTTCTATTATTTTTCTCTTAAAATTGTTAATATCTCTGAAAAAGTCGAAATGAATAATCGACGAAACATGTATTGCTTAAAACATCATCCTCAAATATCTGGCAAAAGTAAAATTAACAAAGCAAATACCAAATTATATCTAGTAAAAAAGTAGGATTAACAAAGGAAATACCATACCAAATTAAATTCTAAACAAAGGAGTTTAAGAGTAATGGTTCAAAACTGACAATCATAATAATCAAAACCTATTGTTGCTTAACTTCAACTTTCTTCTTCTGCCACAGGCGATCTAGGGCACTATCAGCATCACCCTGAAAATTATAAATTATCAAACGCGAATCAATATCAAGATTATGAATTACCAACGATGATTTAACATATCCAAAAATATGTAGTTTCAGACAGATACTGGGATTCTATGATGCATGTGATTTCAAACAGATAATATGCTTTTATTTTAACTAAAAAAAGAGATACATATTAAAAAATATACAAGTACTTTTATTAGATATAAAAGATTTAGAAACTTGAACATTTATCTAATATATATCTTTGGATTATCTAAAAGTGTTGTATATAAAACAAATATAACAAATAAAAGTGAAGTATTGGTACTCCATAGCTGGGATTTGAACACAAATATTAAACACCATTTTCAACATGAAATTCATACTAAACTGCATTATATTGGAGTATTTTCACAGATGATAATCCAATATATTTATGCAGAACATAAATTCTAATTGTTTTCTATTTTCAATAGACTAATAGAGAAGGAGCAAAAGGCCAGAAAAGAAAAATCTTCCAACAAAAACTCTATCAACCCAACAAATAAGTGAACGATATTGGCTTTAAGCAACTAATTTCTCGCAATAAAAAGGAAACCACTTGTTATAATTCTTCTATGTTTCTAATATTGTGAAAACTTCTTTTCTCAGTTTCACAATTTCAAATTTTCATGTTTAGTCATTTGAATCAACCCTAAGAAAAATTTAAACAAAACCCTAATTTAGAATACAGACTCATTAACAAGAAAATCAATACAATAAAACGAGACAAGGAGTATGATGCAAAAAAATAAAAAAGCACTAACATTAACTGGTCACACAAATATTTGTAAAGACAAAAAATCTAATACTAATAATAAACAAAAAATTATTCGAAAAAAAAAGAGTGAAAATAGAGACCTGAGCACGGATGAAGCCACAGAGGGCAAAAGTGGAGAATTGCCCATTGTAAATACCATTCTCATCCACATGCCCAATGTTAATTTGAACAGAAGCATGGTCTTTCGCAGTGATCAATCTATTTGTAGCAGAGCTGCATCATATTCACATAACCAATTCAAAATCCCAAACTCAACGAACAAAGAAATTACCATTAAATGGGGATTTACAAAAGTTAAAAGCTAAATGAAACCGATTGCAGGACTAAAGTACATACCACTTCCTAGGAATGTAGAGCTCAGTGATCTGTCCTTCCTCGTTCTGCATCTTTGGTTAATGTTGTTACTTGACAACGATGTAGAACCTGAATCAGATTAAAACAAGAGAGTAATAATAAGTATTACAGTGCATTTTCGGAGGACTATGAAAGAAAAAAGACGCACAAGAGAAAACCCACCAGAGAAGGTGATGAACGATGAGTGCGGCAGAGGAGGAAATGGGGGCGAGACACTCTTATAGATCCTAAAACCCTAGTTTCCTTTCTAATTGGGCAGGTTTCGAATAAATAGTATGTTCTTCTCAATTGGGCCAACTTTATGTTTTGAAAGCCCAATTGGTTCCAATCTTTCGAATATTAACTTATCCTTATTTCTTTTTTTCATTATAACGACATTATATTATAGAATCCGAGTAGAGAGCCACGCTCAAACCTCAAATCATCGACTTATACAATGATTTAAATATATATATATATATATATATATATATATATATATATATATATATATATATATATATATATACCTTGTCACCGTAATGTTTATATTAATTTTAATTTATATGTTTTTAAAAATAAAATACGCATTAGTGTTTAAAAAAATCAATTAATCAAATTATGTTAGAGGATTTGTTGTAGGTTTGATTTATAAGAATTTATATATCTAGTAATTATTTTTAAGTGAAGTAGGTAATTAGCTGGGTAGTTGATAGCTTATATTTCTTTATCAAATCAATAATTATTTTTATATGATAAAAGAGGTTGAGTGATTATTTTAAGTAAAATATGTCAGTTATTTGAATTATTAATAATTCATATTTTATTAAATATTTATTATTTTATTTGATAAAAATAAAATAATCTTATAAAATTTGATATAAAAGCAGTTAAAAAAGGAACACTTTATATCATAAATATAATAACCATAAATTATTAAGAAGGAAAAAAAAAAGAATTTGGAATAATATAGTGTAGTTGCTGCAGTATGCCTAACATGCATAGATGTTGCTGGTAAATTGAATCTGAGTCAATTGGGTGGCTTTGAATAGTATGTTTTTAAACCCAATTTTAATAGGCATTCTTTATTTTACTTGTTTATGCAAAACAAACAAAACCTATAAGAGAGAAAGAGAGAGAATAAAAATGGAGCACGTTGACGCATATCCAAAATTTGTAAACACCTTCTACCCAATAACCACTATCCTGACAGTTTGTATTGTAAATTAATTGATTTTTTTGAGTTGGAATATAACTTCGTTTTAATGAAATAGAAAAGAAAAACATGCATAAAGGAATCATCTGCTTCCATTCAAACCATTCTAATTAGCTGCTTTCCGAAGAGAAATAGAGTAAATTGTAGTTTTTGTCTTGTCGAAAATCATTGTCTTATTGTCATCGTTGTTTTGTGGTGGTGACATTGTGTGTTTTGTTCTCGTCCGTCCCTGTCGGTCAATTTCTTATTCTGGGTTGGAAAACGTTCAATCTTGCCTGTTGTTTATGCATTATGCTATATGTGCAAGAGGGTTGATTATTAGGTTGTTGTATTATATGTTTAGGATTTTGGATTAATGGAGGGTGTGGGTTTAAACTATCCCAAATTAAAGGAGTCTTCCCCATGAAATAGATTACATTGACTAGGTATTCGTTAGCTAGTTAATGGGGACACTAGAGAACTATTCCCCACAAGGAAAAATAAGTTTTTTATTCTTTTCTGTTTCAATTTTTTGTATGGATGAAATAGGAGGAATGTTGCAGGTGGAAGCTTTTATGAGAAGAACAAGGAGTAGCGTGGAAGGTGGGAACCACCGGAAGCATGCCTGGAGACGGAATATAGTGCCATGGGGTGGTATGCAGTGGATATCGATGGTGTTGGGATTTTGGGGCAAGTCGAGAGTAATTGTTGGGACTGTTGTTGAAGCTGATAGGGTTGCCATTGAAGCATAGGGAAGTGAAGAGTAATATATCCTACGGAGTGAAGGATTCCTTGTCGGATATTTAACCAAGGTATACAATTATAAGAAAAGTGTCAAGACAAATTATTCTTGTTCTCAAAAATATTTCTTTCTTTTGTATTAATTAGTAATTATGATATAGTTTTTTCACTTGTAATTGGGTTCATTTTTCGTTTTTAGATTAGATTTGGGTTTTTATTGGAACATCTCAAGCCCCACAATAGAAAGAGGACGATCAAAACTTGGACACAATAGAGGATGAATGTTTACGAACTGTAAAATTAATGACACGTAACAACATTCTCCTTGTTTTCTCACCACTAAGTGGAAACCCTTGCTTTGGTGGATGTCTTCAATCCCAGAAAGGCACTCCAAATAGTGAGTACTGATTTGTTGCAGGATTAATCTTAAGGGCAGAGACAGAGGATGGATCAGCTCAGCCACGAAATCAATCCGGAGGAGAGGAAGATTAGCAACGGCTGCGCTACCCACACAGGGCAATGGCAAGCCATGGAAGGCTCTGTTTGAACAAGTCTTTGATGGCAGGTCCAGGCATGCTCATGCAAAATAGGCTTTCAAACATGTTTTCAAATGAAGTCTAAATTTTAAAAGTTTTTGTAAAGTCAGGCATAAGGAAAACTCACTTCAGGTAACTACTTCAATCACATGACTTGCACCAATAAAATTGTTAGACGGTTTCAGGCAAAGATTTGCCTGACACTTCCAGCCCAAAATTACACACCAAGACCAACAGAGGTGCCAATGCTAAAACAGCAATTCAAAACATGTAAATCTACCAACTTTGGGCAGCCTACTCTCCAGTACAATGCCCCCACAACAAAGAATAAACGCGCATGTGAAAAAATATGATGATTCTTTGCTCATTATTCGTCATCTGCACGAGCATCTATATAATTATTATGTGTTTCTCATTTCTCAAATTCAACACATTATTAAGCAACACACAGTAGTCACAGCCTTATGACATACATTGAAGTTGCACAATGGAGTCCACAAAAGGAACAATGTATTTCATTTCTACAATCGACTTCTTTGAGCAACTGGTTTAAAGCTGGCAAAGCCAGTAACTTCTCTACCTGTAATCAAGGTGTTAATGTCATACGTGCCTTCGAAGGTATAGATGGGTTCTAAATCACAGAATGCCTGCAACACAAGATAAGAAAAATAAAATCTTACAACATAAATTAAGCTAATTTAGATACAATTAATAGCTAAATCTAAATAGATGAATGAAAGTAGTCAATCAGTTACAAAGCATACATGACTACAGAAGGAAACAAAGATCATTAGAACATTACATTTGGCTCCCAATCCTCCTCATCCATCTATTATGCAAGATTTATGCAAGACGATCTAATCTCATCAACATACAACTAAATAAAGCTTGAATTAAGAATTAAAAATACCTTTGCCACAAGAAAATCAGCCAAAATTCCATTGCCACCAAGCAATTCTCGCCCCAGAGCAGCTGTTTCTCTTGCTCTCAAGGTGATCCATGACTGAAAGGTCGTGACAAAATTCATTAGCATACATCTACCTTAGTGAATAATTACAAATTACTTGATTTTGATTTAGGAAAGAAAGCGGGGGATTATAACTGTGACATAAGTTAGAAACTACCTTGCCCAAGCTAGCATGACCTGGAGTCATTTTACCACTCTCATATAATTTGCAGAGGCGCCAACCAACAAGAATCATAGCTTGAATATTACCTAGCATCTGGACAAGTTTCTGTTGGCTGATTTGGAAAGCTGCTAATGGAGCTCCAAATTGTTTCCTCTCTTTTAGATACCTATTGGTGAATCCAAATTCAGAAAATATTTGCTTTGAAACAACAAGAATGATTACATTCTAATTTGGGAATACCTATGACACATATCATAGATGCCCATCGATATACCAATGGGTTGCCAAGCAACCATTACACGTGAAACAGCAAGCACCTGTTTTCAACAGTAAAAACAAATATCAATGGAAATGTCATAAATCAAGACCCGAGCGTGAAGGATGAAAAATAAACAGAAAAAATTGGCTGATGCAAGGATTGCAATTGCAATTGCATCTACGTTCTTAACCAAATATGTCCAATCTCTGTATTAAACAGAACAATGAGGATAGAGGAGAAGGATAGGTGGAATTTAAAGTTTCCTTGAATAAAACAGAAAAAGCTGGTTAAAATGAGAATTGAGGACACACCATCCAAAGATTGATATATCATATCTACTGCTTAATCTGAAAGAACTTTTATTAACAACAAGCAACTCAAAGCAATAATTTTTTGTTGCATACAATTTGATTTGTTGAAGGAAAAAAGAAACACCACGCATAGCCATACCTTGTTTGTGTCCTGGAAAGAGTTTACTCCTGCAATTCTGTCCTCGTCAGGGACAAAAACTTTTCTCATAACAATGTCACCATTTTGTACAATTCTAAGTCCAATTTTATTCTCTATTTTTGTAACTGTTAAACCAGGTGCGTCCTTTTTAATAATAAATCTGAAATAGCATATACAAGGAAAATATGTAAATAGGATATTAATTGCATAGTCGGACACAATAGGTTCACAGGAAACAGAAGCTTGAAGTGAGAGAAATTGAGTGCGTGTTAACATGCTATCATTGTTAGTTCCTAGTATTGGGTGATTTCTATAGACCATAGTAGGCAGGCATCAGATCAGCTAACGTTTTACCATATCAAAATATATCAGCTATTATATTCATTTCCCTCACTTTTTTATTTTCCCTTTTGGGAAGCAGGGCAACGGTACAAGACAGTCCACAAAATTTTAGTAAATAACTGGATCTCTTTGGCATTTAGATGAGTTGGTATATTACAACTACGTTAACATCTCGTTTTTCATATGAGCATGCAGAGACTAAATAATGAAGGTAAGGGCTTGTTTCACACCCATTTATCTGATTCGTTGTTGCATTCCTAGCGAAGACAACTAATACATCAGCAAATGTACTGTTTCCTATCCACCGCTTTTGGCCCTCAAGGATCCATCCCCTCTCCACCTGATTTCAAAGCAAAGCAACTTCATAATATCAGTATTATTGTACGTTGGAACAATTGAGCACATAATATTATGACTGATTAACAAGACAAATAACCCTAAAGAATCAAAAGCAAATACTTGTTAAAAAGTCCACATAAAGAAAATGACCTTTGTGGCAGTGGTCTTCAAAGCACTGGCATCACTTCCATAGTCAGGTTCGGTCAAAGCCTATTAATGTTAAGAAAAAAATCCATTTCAGAAGTGGTTATTTGCATAAACATAAAATATATATTTCCTAGAAAATCAACTAACCCAGCATGCTATAGTATGCAACTGTGCCAAAGAAGGCAGATACTTTTGCTTCTGAGCTTCTGATCCGCACAATGCTAAAGTTGACAGTCAAAGTTATAAAATGTCAGGAGCTATTATCATATCATCCAATACAAATGAAAAAATTAAAATTTAGGGAATTATTTACATAGTTATTACCAATAGTGAGCATTGCCAAGGATGAATGGACCAAAATAAAAGTTGAACAGCTTGCATCAACTCTTGCAACTTCTGCAACAGCTATAGCGCTTCCAGTGATAGAAAGACCAGGACAACCATAATCCTGTGAATGAGGATAGCTAAGACCTCCATTGACAATGTGCAAAATCTAAACAACAGAGGAAAATATCCCAAGACAGAACCTTGATCGTGCCACCAGCAATGTGCAATGCACCAATCTTTGGAATAACATGAAATGGGAACTTGGCCTTCTCCCAGTACTGAGAAGAAAAGAATTTGCATGATGATGGGATTGAAAGAAAGAATTATGGAATAATAACATTACATCGTAATTGTTTCCATTCAAGTAGTAACGGCTCCACAATTACATGCCTCGGTCATTATTGGGGCAATTTCTTTTTCCATACACTCTCTTATTTTCTTCCTAAGGGCATGTTCCTCTGATGTCAATAAGTCATCCAATTGAAAATAATCTGAAGCTGTTTTTCAAACATCAGGCAAAAGTGTAAGTGAATTATTGAAGCATAACTTGTTTAAATGAAAATATTAAAAAAGTTAAAAATATCAACTTTCCAAGTCATGCAAATCAATGAAAAGAAAATTAAGGACAAATAGACCATATTTTAGGGCTGTGTTCGACTCAGCTTTATCTTAGGTTAAAAGAAACTTCGAGGTTGAAGCTCACTCAAAATAAGAGTTTTAAAAAGGAATCTATTCGGAAGTTTCAACATCTTTTAGCTCAAATTCGTTGACTTGAGACATCAAAAGAGAGAGAGAGAGAGAGAGAGAGAGAAGGGGAGGAGTGTGCATGTGTGTGGGTGTGTGTATCCGTGTATATCCGTGTGTCTGTGTGTATATTATTTAGGGTTTATTATTATACAAAAAAAAAATAAGTATATTACTCTTTCCCTGGCTTATAGTTTTCTGATTGGCTTAATAATTTGTCATCTTTTCTGATTAAATAATCAAAGGTATACATACAAGAAAGGACTCTAAAGATAAGGACAAGATTCGTATCAATACAGTCAAAATATCCTAATGGAAAGGAAAAAAGAACAGCTGGGCAGTAGGACAAAAGGATTGCACGATCCTTGGAGCCAGTAGGAATGAGAAACCAAATCATGACAGCTAGCCTAGACAACTATATAGAAAAGAAATAATAAATAATATAAAAATATAAGATCCCCCTCAAGTTGGAGCCATTATGTAAAACAAGCCCAACTTGCTAATGTTTGTATGAAAAGGATGTAAATGCAAGGCTTTGGTGAAGATGTCAGCTAGTTGCCCAGGAGAAGAAATTGGTAGAAGATGTATCAACCCTTCTTGCAAGTTTTCCTGCACAACATGGTAATCAATTTCTATGTGCTTAGCCTTTACAGGCTATGTAAATGACAGATCTATTATCACAGCAAACTGACGCAGGGGTAACAACAGATACACGTAAATCCTTGAAGAAAAAAAAGCAGCCATTGATGTTTACAAGTGAGGGCTGCAAGTGCCTTGTATTTTGCCTTTGAAGAAGAATAGTTGATCGTTTCTTTGACTTCCAAATGATCGAAGATGAACTAGGATGAACACATTATCCAATCACAAAAACTTACTATCAATACAATATTACCCAATTAAAGTATACAAAAGTTGAACTTTAAGCGGAGATATAGTAGAAAAGAACAATTCCTTTGTAGGAGCAAACTTCAAGAATTTCAGAACTTATGAGCAGCATTCATGTGTGAATCCATCAGTTTTGATATGAACTGAGTTGTTGCATGACAAAGGCTATGTCAAGTCTTGTTGTGGTTAAATACAACAATTTACCAATGACACTCCTATAACCAATAATGTCATCACAAGGTTTTTCATCAGTAACACACAACTTAGTTGAAGGATCTATAAGAGTGGAAATGCATTTGGCTACAAACAATCCATAATTTGCCAACAAAACTCACAGATATACTCTTCTTACTTCTACTAATCTCAAGTCCAAAGAAATATCTCAAGTACCCCAAATCTTTAATTTCGAATTGTGAATTCAAAAATCATTTTACAGAAAAAAATAGCATCCATAACATTTTGTAAACATAATATTATCAACATAAACTAATATGGCGGTTGTTGTAGATCCCATTTCGACTAGAGAATGACCAAATTATTATATATAATTGAACTGGAAACCTTACCTTACAAACCGATTTTGTAGGTTTTAGCTAGACACCTCTCCATTTCTAATATGATACTAAAGCCTATCCTAACGAAATTTGTTGGTCTATCACTCCACTTGTTATCAGGTTGCTATTGTACCACTCTTGAATGGATGAAATTCCAAATTCCTTTCCTTCCTTTTTCATCAAAACAAATGAAAAAGCCGGGGAACCTTATTAGATTAGGAATAAAATTGTGTCTATCAATTTTATTCCCTACAAATACACAAAATATGAATTGATGTATTTTTTCTTTTTATTGGATTTCTATCCGGGACTAGCTAGTTCCACACTCTCTAGATATTTATTTCTTGGTGCGAAGGGTGTGTTGAAAACCTTACATCGACTACAGATATAACCAACTCGTAATATATAATTGAAGTACAAATCTTTCTTTACAAACCGATTTTGTGGGATTGAGTTAGATACGTCTCTTTCTAATAGCACTAAAAGAGTCATTAGTTACTTACAAACAATGAATAATATGTTGTTGATAGAGAAAAACTAAGAGTAAATGCTTCAGATAGTTTGAAATAACATTGTCAACTAGCTTGCTTTAAATCATATAGTGATTTATTGAGTTTGCACATCTTGTTTGGGTGAGAAGATGTGAATACATGGGGAAGTGTCATGTTCTTCATACAAATTTCCGTTGACTAATCTTTGTTCACATCCAATTGTAATAAATGACAACTATTAATGGCTGTCATACAACCGTACAATTCTAACTATAGTCATTTTAGCAACAAGAGAAAAAGTCTCAAAATAATTCACTCCCTCTGATTGAGTATACTTTTATGCCTCTATCCTTGCTTTATACCTCTCTACTATACCATTGGCATGAAACTTGATTTTATATACCATTTACAGCCAATGGGATGTTTTCACAAAAGAAGATCAATAGTAGTCCTAGAGTTATTTTGTTCCAAAGCATTTTGTTGAATATAGAAAAAATAGGGTTTGAGATTAATTTCCCTTGTGTATAAACCACACATAGGGTAATAATATATTTATAATAGAGAGAGGTACAACTAAAAGGATAACTGAAAGTAAACAGAATAAATAGAAAATATTGTTTGATATTTTGATTAACAATATCTAACAATATCTTAACAATATCTAAACAATATCTAACACCTTTAATTCAACATTCATGACATCTAGACTTAGATGTGAATTAGTGATTACACCATGTGATAATGCATTGAGAATTAGTGATTTAGTGATTACACCATGTGATAATAAATCTAGAAAAGTCATCCACTAATGTTAGAATATACTTGTGACCATATAAACAAGGGATATCATAAGGTCCTCAAATATTTGCATGTAGCAAATCAAAATATTTATTAGAATGTGATTCACTTAACTTATAAGGTAATTTTTGCTGCCTAGCACTATGAAAGATATCACATGGTGACACTTCACTATACTTGAGAAAAGGAAATTGCAAAGTCAAAAAGTTTAAACTGAGAATTTGTCAGATGTTCGAATCTATGATGTCACAAGATACTAGTGTTGGTAACACTACTAGAACTATTCTAGTAATATTTAGTGGAATGTTCATTGCCCTGAGGTTGGTGTTTTTCTGCAAGTTCTATCACAAACAACCCATCCTTCAATTCAGATAAACCAATCATTTTCTTGGTAAATGTCTTAACAATAAAACATGTAATAGTATCAAATTGAAAGGAATTATTTGTAACGATTTTGTAACAAATATAAGATTGACATTAAAATCTAGTACATATAAAACATCATGCCATATTAGGGTAGGAGAAATAACAATAGCTCTAGCAAACAAGGCAAAAGTAGTGACCATTTGGTAACAAAATAAGATAGGATTTATTTTGTGATATTCTTTGTAAAAAGGAAGATGAGAAGTGATATGATCTATGGCTTTAGTGTTAAGTAGCCATTGGCAAAAAATGCTACCTAGTGTTAAGATATTGGAATTTTCAAGAAACAAAGTATAGGTTGAAGATTGAACCATGTTTGAAGCATGTACGTCTGAAGTAGGAGACTTGTTAGACTAGTGGATTAGTGCTAGGATGTTTTGATATTGCTCATGAATAAATTGTCCACTTGGGTTCTTGTGATCAACATCGATAGACAATCCCATTGAACATGTAACTAAGTTGATATTGCCATCATTGTGTCTTGAGTTTCTGGGTCAATATCCTAGTGGAAATCCAACTTTGAATTAAGATTCCTCAATTGTATAATTAGTCTTTTCACAACAAGTGCAAAATTTTGAACCATGTTGTCCTCTACCTCTTCCAATAATGCCTTGACCTCTCCCTTTGCTGGAAAAGGTTCCTCTTCCCCCATCAAGGTTTTGAACTTGATTGGCAGTAACATTTAGAGCTAACTTCGGACCACAAACCGATTCAACAATAATTTCTATGTTCATTTGACTTTCTTGTTGAACAACAAGTGAAAACACTTTTGATAAAGGTGGTAGATGGACAAGCATCAAAATCTAAGATATGAGTATTGTTCCTTCAAGCCTTCAAGGAAACGAACTGCATAATCCGCATCACTATATTTTTTAATTTGATCAACCAGTCAACAACTACAAGCAATATCACATGTGCAACTAGGAAGAGGCCTAAAATTTACTAACTCATCCCACGTAGATTTAAGATTGGTAAAATAATTTATTATCATGAGATCACCTTGGAGAAGTTTGTAAAAAGCTTCTTGTTAATTAGAAAGAAAATCTTCTTGTTAATTAGAAACTCATAATTTGTTGTTTGATTAAAGGGCTAACTTCATGGCCTTAGCCCATGAATGATATTCTTTTTATCTAATGGAGGAGACAACAACACCAAGGATGGGTTCTCAATTAGATGAAGGTACTAAGGATTATATATGTCAAAGTTTGTAATGATGCTCCGGTCTGCCTTGAAGAGAAGTATTAAAGGGGAAAAAAAAAACAGTATCGTGATTGGGGACTAGAGCACTTTTTCAAAACTCAGATACCATTTTATGATTGTAATTTGTCATCCTTTGTAATTGAACAATCAAAGGTATAGATAAGGAAGCAATGACTATCAACACTGCCAAAATATCGGAAAAAGAAAAAGTACACCAGGAGAACAGGAGAACAGGATAGCAAGAAAACAGGACAAAAAGGATTACATGATCCTTAGAGTCAATAGGAATGAGACACCACGTGATAACAACTAGCGTAGACAACTATAAAGAAAAGAAATAACAAATGATGTAAAAGTATAAGATCTAGTTATGAAAGTAACAACATATAAAGGCACGTAAATCTTAATCCGCATACCTGGCTAAGCTAAATATCATTGTCACTCTAGTATGACCTGAATAATCAAAGAAATTTCTTACCAGAAGGAGGAAACGTTGATGCTGGTGTTGCTTGTGGAAATGCTTCAGAAACATCTAGGGGCGGTAAATAAAAATACGAAGGCATTGCACTTTTGACAGAATCGTCTGCACAAGCCAAAGCATTCATCAAAATACACAGCACAACAGCTTAATAAAATTACCACATTTAGTAATCAATGCCAGAAAAATACGTTAAAAAATAGCACATCTTAATTACCCCATAAAACGTTTGAATTCAAAGAATCAATTGCGGATTAGAAGACAGGAATAGACAAATTAATGGAGCAAATGATACGAAAATAATATGTTTGGCTGACTCTATATGTACATTAGAGATAACCACCTAATAATTCAAGTGGTAGCAGCAAAGGACATAATGCTTAACTAAATCAAAACGGAACTTTAATTTTATCGCACATAACTCAAGCAGCAAACAAAATAATATCAAAGAATGGATGTGAAAAATACAAGAAAAATCATCCAACAAATCCTTCTTGAATATGCTCAGATTTTGCTTGGAAGTAGGAAACAGTGCTCAAATATGTTCTCGTATTATCTAACAATAAAAGGAACAACTTGCACATCATCAACTACCAATAATAAGAATAAAAGTAATCCATTACTCTCTTGAAGTGAATTCAATAAACAAAATCAACATGCTAGTGTATCCTTAACAATTTCGAAAAAATCTGTGTCATGTTGACGCAATGATTGAATGGAGCGAACGGAATCAAACAGTGACAGCAAATGAAATTTCAGCAGAGTTACGGGCCTGGATTCTTAGAAGAGAGGATCGCCATGGTCGGAGAGAGATCGAAGAATTTGAGAGTGTAAATTAGGGTTCACGTGAAGTGACAGATGGAAAATCTGGGTAGATGGTACGGTAGAATGGGGAAGAAGAGAGAAATTAGTGGACTTTGGACTATAAAGAAATGAGGGAAAGGCACGCAAACTAAGGTGATATAATAATACGTGTTTATGTTGATGACTACAACCTCCCTTCTTTATTTAGATCTCTCGCATGGTTCTAATTCTCAATCATTTATAATATTAATGGTTATTAATCTTTCAAGAACATAAAAAAAAAGGATTAATTATATAAATTATTCTAACAGGGTAATACGTTGATGTATTATGAAATTGTTTACTACTTTTGGAACATTATGCATGACTACAAGATCGGAAAGATCTAAATTTCTTACCAACTATAAATCTTTTAAGCAAAAACTGTTTTTGACACTATTGCGTCCATGGAATAATCTACTTATCGAATAATTTGTTTTTTATCCTACCAAATAATACTATATGAGTTGGAAAAAACCCATGACAAGATAACCATATATTTAAAAAATATTTTATAATTTTTATTTTAAAAAAATAAACAAATACAAATTTGTTGAAATTTAAAAAATAAATATGGATATTATTTATATTTTTTTTAAATAATCTTCTTAAATTTTATCTCGATCTCCTGAATTTGATTTTTATTCTAATTTATCTTAAACTTTATAATTTGTTAAAAGTAAATACCTTATTTATAGGAAAACATATAAATGAATTTTAAATTTTACTAAATTAACATAAAATTTGAAACCGAACGTAAAATTTGAGATTAAAAATAAAGTGACAAGCAATTTTGAAAGTAAATATTAAAGATAAAGTGACAAAATAATTTTGAATATGAAGTAAAGTTGATTTAATCTTCGATAATATTATTTTTATAACATATTTATACTCATTTATCAAAATTTTTACTTTATCATTTTATTTAAACTAAAATCTTTACTTTATCATTTTATAAATAATTATTGTCGATTTAATCTAATTTTATAGATACAAATCAATTTCTTTTTTAACTTTATTTTGAGTCATATTAGATACTACTACAAATATATTTTTCTTGTGCATTATTATTATTATTATTTTATATCATCGTTTCTTCGTGTAGATCTTCTGTTTAAAAAACAATGGTTGTTAGATTATTATTGAGCGAAATATCATATTTGAACAGGAGATGAAATATATTTGAGATCGAAATAAGATGGTTTAAGATAATAATTATTAATTTTATTGATGTGATGCGAGAATTGGTGTTTATAGTTTTCTCTAATTGTCTGGTTAGATTTTAAAAATAAAGAAAATGAATAACGAATATGAAGACTAAAATCTTACTGGAAAAAAGTTATTTGACAAAGTCCCATGCAAAATATCCAAAAAATTCCTCAAATCATTTTTATATCATGTATGTACCTTTTTATAATCCCTACACCCTACCATCATTGGATTAAAATAAATTAAAGAAAGTAAAATTAGCATGTATAAAAACAAGATAAAAAATTTGTGCAAGAACTTGAAGGTAAATTATTTTAAAGAATAAGTACCAAATTAGTAATTTTACCTCAAAAAAAACTGAATTAAAATGAATTTAAAGTATAAAGGATGATTTTGCCTTTGATTTAATCCACCATATTTGGGTTCATGAATGATGATGAAGCTCTTTCTGCCATTTTCTAAGTTATTCAAATTTAAGATAAATTTTTAAATTATAAATCTAAAATCAAACCATCAATTAATAACTTTAACAAAATCTGCATCATTATGTATGCGATCTATTTCTCATAATTTTACTCATAGCTGATAACTTTGTAAAAGATGAGATAGAATGATACATGGAATCTTAAAATAATTTGAATCATTCATAACTCACAGAAACATAATAAATGATCTCAAACATCTCTCAACTCAGGTGATCTTAGACACTGTTTCTTTTAAACCTATCGTAAACCACCTGTTTAAGTGGTTCCCGTTTGTAAATAGAAGAATTTTTTTTTTCTTTTTACAAAACCCAAATTTATAATTAAAAAAAGAAAGAATCTTCAAATGTGGTAACTTATAAGAAATGCTGGCTCAATATTAACTAGGTTACCTAACAGCATACATAAAAAAGAGTACCCAAACACTAAAAGATAAAAATGTGATTCTTTAACACCCATTTTGCAGGCTTCAATTTGTTTATGTATCTTCGTCCTGGTCTAACCTCAAATTATTATTTAGTAAATCTTGCAATCAACTATTGGAAGTTTCTGAAGGAAACACCAGCTTCAATACCTCTGACAAAGCTGTTACCTAATCTTTTCCCGACAAGATCCCTCAACTCAATTTCACCAGGGAATCTGTTATTGTTCAGTTTGGAGAAAACCTGTGACGTCCAAAGGAACAAGATGATCACGATGAAGTTATGAAAAGTAATCAAATGTTTAAGGTAACCAAGGTACAATAATAATATGCTCGGAAGCTGAATTCTTCAAAAGATCCATGTGACATAGTATACATGGTGTTGGTTGGAGGGGAATGGAGTGAAAATATAAAACATGCTTATCAGTTCTCTTTTTCTTTTCTTTTTAAAAAAAAAAAACTAAAAACAAATATTTTTCAAAAACTGTTTTAACAAAATAATTATGAAATATTTTTTTAGAATTTACAAAATAAAATATTGAAAAATGTTTTAAAAATAATAAACAATCATAGTGGTAGGAACGGCAAAATGGACTAAGTCCGACACGTCTGTCTGCCTAAAAATAGCGAGAGTGGGTGATTTTAGTCCGTTTTGACCCGCTTTACCTAGTCCACCAACTCGACCAGTAAGGAGTGACTTGCTTTAAATATAAATATATATATATATATATATATATATATAAAATAAAAATAAAAAAGATTATAATTAAAAATATTATATTTTGTTGTGTAAATAAAATATGTAAATATATTATAATTCAAGTTTTAAAAATTAATTAAGTAAATTTAAAATACTAATTATAATTAATTATTTTAATGCATAAATATAATATTTCTTCAATTTATTTAATAAAAATATTAATTAATAAATAAAAACTTAAAATTATTCATATGATTAAAGATATATTTTTTAAAAAATACATATAAAAAATTTGATATAAAAAAAATTATTACCAACCCACTATTTGGCGAAATAGATTGAGATCTATGGTCCGTCTTGACTAGGGTAGGTCAGCCCATTTTTCATCCCATTTTTGGCATGTCAAAACGGGATTTACCCATTTTGCCATCTTTACATACTAATATATTATTTGGCTCTCCTCCCCTTGCAAAGAAATCAAGGGGACCCTACCATCATTGACCCACCAGACAGTGTGTAAATTAGTTTCCAGCACCAATTAAGGACTTACCAATTCGCCATCACAATATACTTCAAAAGCACCAGAGCTTTGAAGAAAGGATTGAAGAAAATTTGTAACCAGCCAAGTGCTCGCAATACTTCTAAATTTATTGGCTCGCAATGAATAGTACCATAGTGGTGGTGTCAAACCCAGTCTAGGGAATATTTGATCACCAGCAACTACAGCTACAATAACTCCTGTTTGCACCACTGGAACTATTTTGCCCAGAATGCGCTTTGGAAGTGGAGGTGGATAGTTAGCCAAAACAACATTAATCCCAGGAAATTCAGATTCCAGCATGTTTTTAACTGTTATTGCATTTCCCCTGAAGAAAAAGGCATGAAAATTACGTAAGATAAATTACTGTTTGTTCTATTATTAAAAATATTTGGATTCTAAAAAAGAAATGAATCAAGGATGATTACAGCTAGAACAAGTAGAGTCTAGTAAAATTAGTTAATATTTACTAGTTAGAACTCATCTTAAATTCTAATATTGTTATTGAAAGATTAATATTATGTTAGGAATTCCCTTACTGCAACAACAAATGAAAACCTGAAATGCTAACACAAACACTCACCTTTTGCTGCAATGACAGAGTAACTGAATATAGTTTTATACTCACATTTCCCACAACACAACAAAGCACCTGGGTAAACAAAATTACCCCCAAATGGACCACTCTCCTTTTCACACTGGCAATATCCAATTACTCTTGTCCAAATAAAACTCCTCAACCTTATAACTGTCTATCTATTTATTATGTCCTCACTTACCAACCGAAATAACTAACTACCTGGGCACATACAAATTATAATTTAACCCTTTTCCTTTTCTTCTTCTAAAATAGACCTGCAAAGGTCTTTCCCATTTTCTATTTTCTCTATCAACATTTCTAACGTATTACCACCAATACTTCAGCACCAACAACGAGATTAATTTTAGTATGATGTGCACTAAATTCATTTTAGTAAGAACAAGCTTCTTAGGATCGGTGTTATGGACACAGGATAACAGAAAATATAATCTATTGCAGAAATATATAGGAAGTTATAACGGGTTATGTTGGAAGCATCATGGACAAAAAAATACAATATTTACATATAGATATATAAAAAATGTGCAGAAATATAATTACAATACAAAAATAGTAAACACAAGCACACAATTATTAATAATAATAAGTCCAAAATTTGAAATAACGATAGCTTCAAAGCAAAACACAACCAGGTTGAAATTCCTTGCTTAGTTTCCATCGGATAGTGGAAAATAAATATCCAGGGTTTAGTTTTATAAAGAATGAGTATTGAGTAGAAAAAAATGAAGAAAAAAGGAGGACTAGAGAATAAGAGCAGAACTAACTAGGTATGTACTAGAGGAGTGCATTCGGAGAACAGGGACAGATGATGCTGCTGCAGTGGTTCGATAGCTGTGCTGCATGGGTCGATGGTGACAGAAAACAGTGCAGGTTACAGCTGAACAGTTGGCAGGTGAGGGAAGAAAAGGTCACATTTGGCGGCAGAGCAGGTCCCATGCGGCAAAGGAACAGGTTGCCGGTGTAGCATCACTGGTGGCCACTGAGCAACTATGGTAGTTCAACTGGTTTTCTTATTGGGTTACTGGTTTTAGGTTTGCTTAGTTTTTTTTTTTATTTTGGGTTGGGTTTGGGTGGATTATACCACCCAACGCATTTTTTTTTTAAATCTATTGGGCTTGGTTGGGTTAAAGGAAACAAATTAGGATCTCTTGGTTGGGTTAAAGGATCCACATCAGTTTTAAAAATATTCGGTTTCTTTTATCTCAGGTCTGGGTCAGGGTAGCCTGAACCAGAGTTGTTCTTCATTTCTAAAGAGGCATGGGGCAACACCATGGGAGTGGAGCATGATTTCCACCGTTACCAAACCGCAGCACCATTCTTGACGTCCACAGCGGCCATGACAGAAATCCTGCATTGCCACCGCCATGCTATGACAATTGGTGAAAAGTCCGCAACCAATTGCTGCTGTGGCCAATTTTTATAACACTACTTAGGATCAATTTTTCTCTTATTGGCCTAGCACCAATTGAGGAACAATTGAAAGAAAATAGGTTAGGGAGGTTTAAAACACATACAAAGATGGCTAATGGAAGCCCCAATGAGTGAGGAGAGTAAATTGCAAGGTTCAGTCCTATGAAATGAGAGGGGAGACCAAGAAGGACATTTACATTGTTGTTAAAAAGGATCCCATGGTAACTAATGTCCCCAAAAATTTGCCTTTTAACCAGCCGACTTGTGTTGTGTAATCCAACTAATTTCCCGTGGTGAGATTCCAAAGCAGATTGTATGATACTTATTACATCATTCATCTACAGAAGTCGTAAAATCAATAATACACTAGTTAAATGAGTTGTGAATAACCTTAGAGAAGAAAAATACCCATGCAGACTCATTCGTAGCTGTTTACCATCACTACAAGACTCATTCACATAAAAACAATCCATAATGTAGCAAATACTGATCTCCTAAGGATTGGCTGAGTAATTTTAAAACTACGAGGGCAGAATTTTTCAAACTTACAAAAAGAACTAATGGAGGGGTTGACCATTTACCAAACATACACTCTCAAATGAAAAACAAGAACTAGAATACAGGTCAACAATGCTAAAAGGAAAACAAAGCACACATTTCATCTATTATTATAAATAATCATTGACTAAATAACCCTGACGCAGAGACCAAGATAATTGAATACCAATAGATGTGTGATTCTAACAAATAGCCAACCCTAGATAAAATTCAGAATGCATACTTTTAATTTTGCAGCCACACAGATAACATTCTCAATCATCCTATTTGCTTTTGTTCACATCTCATAGATCATTTCCATGTGAATACCAAGAAACCGAAAGGTTTTGGAAACACAATCTATGGGCAAAACACCACGTTCATGATGTGAATAACGCAAAATTTAGAACCAGCAGCGTTAACTTTGATGTTGAAAATTACATTCATGATCCCGTTCCAAACACATCCTGAACCCGCAAATAATAATAAAAACAATATTGTACCAACTTGACACACACAAACAACAATTACACCTTACTCTGCCAACAATTACACACATACAATAAGAACCCCATGATCAAAACTTAATTAAACAATTAGATGAGAATTGAAACAAAAGGAAGAACGTAGGCAAACTTGTAAGAGCAGGAAGTGCAGAAGTCAATGCTGACGGTGTGGCCAGCTCCAATTGGGCCAATACCACTCTGTTTCTGTGGAAAATTGAAAAGGAGAAAACGATTAGAAGAATACCAGATAAAGAAAAAAGGCATTGGCATGAGGAAAGGGTGCAAAATCGTAAATTTGGAAGAGGGGAATTGAGAAACCTGAGTGGGGAACTCCAGGGGTTGATGAAGGTTCGGTTGAGGGGTCGGTTTAGGGTCCGGGAAAGTGCGATAACCATCTTTCGGAGGAGGTGGCGGACCGAAGAGGTTGAGAATGTCAGAGAAGAAAAGGAAAAGTGGTAACCCAACAAGGAGAATTTGGGTTCGATCCATTGAAGGAAGAATAGCAGAGAGAGAGAGAGAGAGAGAGAGAGAGAGAAAAAAAAAGCGTAAAAGTAAAGGATCTGTTTTTTGTTGTTGGGAAAAACCGATCTTCATGACACGACAACTTAGATCTAATGTATATGTGAAAGTAGAAAAAAAATAGATTTAATTTTGTTTATCTAGTTTCTTAAACCATAATTTAGGTTGACAAAAAAATTTGTCTAGCATATTTCCATGGTAAAAATCGTTCAATATACACAAAATAGATACTTGTGAATACTTGTTATATGTTAATAATTTTTATTTTTTTAATTAAATTATTAAAATATAATTATTAGTGAAAAAATATTAATCATAAATAATAATTAGAATTAGAATTTAGAAATTTAGAAATTTATGTTTTTATATTTAAATTATAGGATTATTTTTTTTAAATATTATTATTTAAATGTATATTTTTACGATAAACTTATTTAAATTGGTATTTTATAAAGATTAATTTTATTTATATTAATATTTTATGGTTAAAACTTATTTAAATTATACTTTAAGATAAAAGAACTTATTAAAAAAATAAGTTTCAAATAATCTTATTTAAAATAAAAAAATATATATAAGTATTCATGAATATCTATCAATATAAAATAATTTATGAATTTTTATCGAAATGATAATTAACTGATACTGGGAAAGATATTTGAGTGTATTTTACCTATGTCTGTCCATGGTGTTATTCCTAATAAATTTAGATATCAATTTAAAAAATTTATTTAAAAAAATAAGTTAAAAAAGTGTTTAATAATTTTAATTTAAAATTGTTTTAGACCGAATGAAAACTATATCAATAATGGTGAAACATAAAGTTGAAACACAATTTTAAATAACCGTATTGAAATTACATGTGAGTGAATAAATATTATTAATGAAGATAAAAATTTAAAAATAAAATATATTTTTTATCAGTTTTGATTTTTAATTTTTAAAAATTAGACAAGTAGTAGTACTACTACAAAATTTCAAATCTGATTTCATAAAACAATTATTAGACAATTAAAAAAACTAAAAAAATAAAACTATTTTTAGAAAGAATAACCACGTTAGTATACTTTTAAGTATCTTTTTTATAATTACTTTGCAATATTTTTAAATTATTTTAAATTAATTAGATAGTTAGTTACTAATTTAAAATTTTTTTAAATAAAAAATTATTTTTATTTAACGAAAGATAAAGTAGTTTTATAAAATAACAAAATAAATATTTTTGCATCTTCTCTTATCTTTGTTTTTCTTCCCTACTCTTTCCATTTGTTCCCTTTGGTGTCAGTGATCATCTCCATTTTTTAGACATTGTTTTGACTCCTTTCAATATTTTGGATATACTACTTCTATCAAGATCTATCAGTACTTGCTATAACTTGAAAAAAATTTCTCATCTAAAATTACCTCAATAAATGATATGATTTAGAAGCGTCACTATAATAAGTTTTTTTTTCTTTTTAATTTTAAAAATTAAGTGGACTATAATAAAATAAGTATGGATAAATAAAACATTATGAAAAGATGACCATTCATGTTTTCATGATAATAAATAATGATGTTTATAATTAAAAGAAGAATAAAAGAAAATCAATTAGATAGTTAATGATAATTATTATGGTAGTCTATAATTACATTAATTTAGTCTATAAATACATTATTTATAATACTATAAGGAAAACATTTTAATTTTGAATAAAAAATGATTTTTTTCGTACAGAGTTTTGTAATATTTTGAGTCACATGAAACCTTTTTTATTTTATCAGCATATCGATTAATTCTATAACATATCACTCACCTTCAATTTTTCTTGAGTCAATATCAATAAGTGTAACATATCACATAACACAAGTATAATGAGCGTATTATTTTTAAACACCTAAATAATTTGTATTATTATTATTATTATTATTATTATTATTATTATTATACTATTTATATTTTTTTCTCTTACTGAATATTATGTAAGTATAGTTTTTTATCTTAAGTGCTATATACAATATTTGTACGAAAATACTTTCTCCCCCAAAATTTTAAAAACCTTTTTGGTTAGTTTCATTACTATTAACATTGGCACAATAATGAATAAAATAAAACCTAAAAAACAGAGACATGAATTAAGATTGATGTCACGTGACAAATTGTTGTTTCCTCAAAGTAGTGGCTATTCAATTCATGAGAGTGGAGGCATTTATGAAATTGCATTGGATGAGAGCAGTGAGATGCCACCAAAAGCAAAGGCAAGAGAATAGGAGTTCCACTTCTCTAATTGCAGCAAAAGGGGTCAAACCCGAAGGAAAAGGCACGGACGAGGGATTGGAGTTTTATTCCATTAAGGAATGTGAACCCAACATAAGAACGTGGAATGTAAAAGTTATCACTATTGAAAAACATGTCAAATTGATCTAAGAACATTATATTTAAGATAAGAATAATCTCTTAAGGTTACACAGCATAAACCAGAACCCAACCGTTTGCTTTTCCCTTGAATTGAAAACCATATATGCCTTTTGTTAAAGCTAATATCTTCCTTCCCTCAGATTTGTGAAGAAGGAGGTGGGGAGGAGGGGATAGATTAGGGAGAAACCCAGGAGAGAGAAAATTAAAGCACAAACGTGAGGCTCTCGTTGAAACACACAATTGCAGACTGCGTACCCTTTTTGTCATATCCTAATTCTTTTCAACTTGTGCTTGTTTGTCCTATGAATTATAGGTTCTGTTGCATCGATATATTTTGGTTCACACATATCTTTCTCTCTGTCTCCCTCTCTCTCTTATAACTTTACCTTTCTATCCTCAGGGACCATGAGGTGGTAATGAACTAATCAGCCACATACCCATCAACCAACTAACCAAAGCTTCCTCCTTTTCTCCAATGGCAGCTTGGGTTTTATCAGAATGTGGCTTAAGGCCTCTTTCTCCTTTATTTCCACGGCCAACAAGACCCATTTCGTGCCGAAAGCCTTCAAAGTTTAGACCTTTTAGTACTAACAAGGGAGTGGCAGATCTGAAGCTCCACCCAGGAGGATTTACATGTTGCAACTTTAGGGAGAGAAGGTGGGATTTGGGAGTAAGTGCTCCACTGAGGGTTGCCACCACCGAGGGAGAAGAGGAGAGCATCAATGGGGTTAATGGGGTTGGAGAGGAACTACTTAACTTTGACCCTAGTGCACCACCACCCTTCAAATTGGCAGATGTCAGAGCTGCCATTCCTAAACACTGCTGGGTGAAGGACCCTTGGAAGTCCATGAGTTATGTTGTGAGGGATGTCATTGTGGTTTTTGGGTTGGCTGCTGCTGCAGCTTATCTCAACAACTGGATAGTTTGGCCTCTCTATTGGGCTGCTCAGGGAACCATGTTCTGGGCCCTCTTTGTTCTTGGTCATGATTGGTAATAGCCAATTTCATGTTGATATCTCAACTGTTTTTACTAAAGCAGATCTAGATTTAATTTTTTATTGGTCTTTTTGGGGTGGCAAAGTTGGATTTCAAAAGTTTGTTATGATAACCATGGTTAGTGTTTTGGATCTTTCAGTGGTCATGGAAGCTTTTCAAACAATCCCAATCTGAACAGTGTTGTTGGTCACTTGCTGCATTCATCAATTCTAGTACCATATCATGGATGGTGTGCTTAATGAACTGTTCTTCTTCTAGTACCCTTCTGGTCTTTCTTTTTTTTCTTATCCTAATATGCATTACTTTTAGTCTATGCCTTTAAACTGTTAGTTTCATGAATTGAACAGGAGAATCAGTCATAGAACGCATCATCAAAACCATGGCCATGTTGAAAATGATGAATCCTGGCATCCGGTTAGATGATTATCTTAGTTCTGGTTCTTATGGAAATCATCTTTTGGCTCCGATACTTTACATGAAAAAGTCTAAATCAAAATGTTTAATGCCAATCCTGCAGTTGCCAGAGAAAATTTTCAACAGCTTGGACAATGTAACACGTATTTTAAGATTCACAATACCTTTTCCATTGCTTGCGTATCCTATCTACCTTGTAAGTTGCAATACCTAACGGTTTTACCTTAACTTTGAACATTCCTATTTAGTGATTCTGGTGTATGTATGGATTGACCTTTGTTATGATCTTTCAATTCAGTGGAGCAGGAGTCCTGGGAAGACCGGTTCTCACTTTGATCCAAACAGTGATTTGTTTGTCAGCAGTGAGAGAAAAGATGTTATTACTTCAACAATTTGTTGGACAGCTATGGCTGCATTGCTTGTAGGTTTGGGATTTGTGATGGGTCCAGTTCAATTGCTTAAGCTTTATGGCATTCCCTATGTGGTATATTCCATATCTTTTTTAATGAGACACGTTATTAAGAATGATCTTTTCTTTCTGAATCACCATCAAATCCTAATTTGACTCATGTAATTTTCAGCTTTTTGTAATGTGGTTGGATTTGGTGACGTATTTGCATCACCATGGTCATGAAGAAAAATTACCTTGGTATCGTGGAGAGGTGTCCTTTCTTTCCCTTTTCTTTCTTTTCCAAGAAAATGCTCTTTAAATCTTATCTTGTTAATCTTCATAATATATGTTTGCATCAAAGGTTAACAAAGGTTTCCAAGGGAAACCTCTAATTTTGATTGAAGACCAACACCAAAAGCACACATAAGTTGTGTCTATGTTTTGTCCATAAATAAATTAAAAAAAAAAACTGGAGTTAAATTTATTTTTCTTCAACTAGTCTCTTCAATGTTGGTGATGACTTGGAATTGGAAGTGATCAGAATTCAATCTTTCTTCATAGCTTTATTCTTCACTATGTTGGACAGGAATGGAGCTACCTTAGGGGTGGCCTTACAACTATTGATCGTGACTATGGATGGATCAATAACATCCACCATGACATTGGAACCCATGTCATTCATCACCTTTTCCCTCAAATACCACACTATCACTTAATAGAAGCAGTGAGTGTACCTTCAAACTTCTTTTGTTGAAGTTGAATAAAAGGAATGGTCATTGTTATTAATTACATAACTTTTGAATGTCTTTGCTCCATTACAGACTGAGGCAGCTAAGCCAGTTCTTGGCCAATATTACCGGGAGCCAAAGAAGTCTAGCCCTCTTCCATTTTACCTCATTGGAGAACTGATAAAAAGCATGAAGAAAGACCATTTTGTGAGTGATACTGGGGATATTGTGTACTATCAAACAGACCCTACAGTTAGTAAATCTTCCACAACAGAGTGAAACTTCCAGTTTTTCTTCTTGAAGACAAATTGAGGCCACAAATATGTTGTATTTGACACAATTTCTGAACTCTGAACATTGTGTCTGAGCTCGTACTCTCGTTGAGTGTAGTTGAATTTCTCATGAGGGAATGAATGCATCACAGATTTGATTGTGACTACATGCATTTTAAGCATGATCAGGGTTTATAAGTAAGTTGTTCTTATAGAAGAACAAGGAAAGTGTAAATTGCTCATTCTTGATGAAGGGTATGCTGTCTTCATCGATTTAATCACAATTTTTTGCTCAAACAGAAACACCAATGTTGAATGATAATTGAATAGAATTGTACCATCTGATGTCACTTTCTTTTGCTTATCACTTATCTTCTTATTCCTCTTCAATTAGTGGTTGTTGAGATTAGTTCTGTTGGTATCTATTTGATTGTTTAGTAAGTTAGAGTTTGAGAATTGCAACATGGAAGAAAACGCTGAAAATGAAAAAGAGCTTGAACAAGATGAAAACAGGAAAATGAGACATCATCTTCAAAATTTAATAGATTTAGAATGAGAAGTCAATATTAAGTAGTGTGAAATTGTTTAGGAAAAAAATTTTAAATTAAAAAGAGGAGAATCATACAAGCTCTTAGTTTTACTATTGTAAATACTTCTAATTATATTATTACCTTTATTAAGTATACTTGTACTCCAGAACAAAATACATTAAAAAAAACCAGATTTTTTTTATTGGTCCCATCTTTCTTTATCCTATTAAAAATTTAACAGTCATTCTCATTCTGAAAAGGGTATTTCAAAATATAAATTTTAAATTCCAAAATACTCTTTTCAAAATGAAAGAAGATGCACTAATTCTTATAGGGGCTGGCTAGAAGAAATATCATCCTTTTTTTCTTCTGTCCTGAGAGTATGCCCAATTAAGCCAGGTGTCCCCAAATCCTAAATTATTGTGAATAATTTTCACCTAAGGTACACTTTTAACGTTTTGATGATTCAAAATGTGATAGCTGACAGCCATGGAACTCAAATGGTGGGTCTTTTGTCTGAAAGTTCAGTCACTTTCCATGTGCTAATTTTAATTGCTAGTGGCCATGCCCAGTGGGAAAGAAAACTTATGGGTCAGCATAGTCACCTCTAGTATATGCATGTTTACTAGTTGTTACATTCTGGCGTGCACTAAATGGGACCACAGGCTCATAGCCCAAACGTATTTGCATTTCAAGCGTTTCCACCATTCATCTCATAACCCTATCATCATGTTCATCTCCACACACAGTATGTAGCTAGGGAAGTACCACACAAATGCTCAATGTTATCTTTTAAAAAAATTATTCACTTAAAATGGAATGAACGATTGGTTACATGCCTCCTTTCACTTCAAACTTGAAGAGTTTAATACACTTATCTCCATTGAATATTTGCTTAAATTATATTTAGCTAAACAAAATATTAAGATATAAATGTAATAGGGTGCTTGAAAATAAGGTATTTCATATCTAATAAGCATGAGAGTAATAAGATAACAATAAGACTATCTTGCTAGATATAAATATTATTAAAATAAGTTTTACTTTTTTTCTAATAAAGTTTTTTTCATATACATGGACTTTTGTCGTGGTAAATATAGATATTTATCAAATATATACAATTTTGTGAAAAAATGTAACAACATGAAAACTGCCACTACAAGACAAGAAGTATTAGTATAATACTTATTGAAAAAAAATTACTTATAAATATAAAGATATTTAATATTATTCACAGATTTATTCGTTAGTAAAATGGTAAAATCATTATATATACAATTCTTCAATAATATAAGTAAAAAGAGATAGTGTCATTTTTCTTAAACTTTATTAAAGAAAGGTTTCCATAAATATTTTTGTCAGAAAAGTTTGTCTACCAATAATATTATAATGAAAAATAAAAAAACTAGTGAGGGGATGGTCAATAATGTCATATTGTCCATCGATAATTAGAATAAAATAAATTAATGTTTTGGAAAGCCAAACATAATTTGTGTGTCATATTCTCCTTCTTCTCTAATAGTTTTCTTCATCCACCAACATCTTGACTTGCCTAAATCACCTAGATCACCCAAATCGCCCAATAATAATGTTTTTGAAAGATTATTTTGCCCTAATAGCATGAATCGTCAAAAGCAATCAATCTTAAGTTATGGTGTGGGTAGGTGGCAAGCAAAGTCAACCCACATTGCAATAGGTGTTTTTCTTTAGTGTTTAGCGTCAATTAGGATTCAAATTCATAAAATTAATTTGTATGAACATCATTTATGGTTTGAGATGCGTCTTTCAAGACAATATGTTTATATACAACAACTATTGATTATTTTTAAAAAGTTTTGAAGCTATATTGTGTAATTGACATTGGGTCTATTGATAAGTTTTGAAACTGAGGTGTATGTTGATTATGTTTATGTTTGTTAAAAGCTTATGAGAATCTATCCTTAAGTATGCCGAACCCTAAGATGTCTTCTTGCTATTTTTGTATTATAGTTTTCTATTAGGCTTTGAACTTGTCCTTAAGCATCAATTAAATTTGACAATATTTGGGTTCATAGTGAAGTAGAAGAAAGGGCTTATTCAAATCATTCATCCTCAATTGAATTTGTTGACAATGTAAGAATTATGTATGTATATTTCTCTTGTTTCTACAAATTTTTCCATAATTTAGACCTATTTCCTTTAGTATTTGATTATAAGTAAATTACTTTGATACAAGAGCATTAATAGACGAAAAATTTTCATTTTTCAATTGAAGTCAAATCCAATCACTAGGTTCAAAAGTTACTTTTCTTTTTTCCTCTATTTGTTGACTTTACATATTTTTTTTCAATTTGCACCTTGACTTTAGAATGTAAGTCTTTTCTAAATTTAACATTTTTAAATTCACATTATAAATCATAACTCATGGTTTGGAAGAGGTAAAAAAGGTCTAGAAATGTCAAATGATTAAAACCATATACAACCTCAAATGAATATACGAGGTTGTAGAGTTAAGAATTAGGAGGGGAGTATATAGTCAACTAGGTAAGACTCTGAATTTGTACAAATAATACATTTCTCATAAAAATCTTGCACATATATTTTTAAGCTTATGTTTAGATTAAAGAGACGATTTGATGAAGTGGAAAATGAAAGAAAGAGAGTAAAAAAAATGAGATTATTTGGATTTGAGGAAAAATAGTTTGAAGTGAAAGAAAATGAATAGAAAAATTATAATTGATAAGATTGATTTGATTAATAAAAATTAAATAATAGAGAAATTTAAAAAAAAGAGATAATGAAAAGTAAAATTATTTGAATAAAGGAAAAAGTAAAAATTATAAAAGGTACAATAAATAAATAATTTAGTTATTATTATTATTATTATTATTTTAATTAAAAACAAAAAATATAGGTTTAAAGTAAAAATGTGTAGTTTTTATTAGGATTAATGCTTCAAAAATTTAATATTTTTTTTATACTTCCTTTGTCTCGAGTGATCTCCAAAGTCTTAATAATTCTAAAATATTCTATTAAACCACCTTTCTATGTCTCTTCTACCATTAATTTCTTAAAGGATATTTTAGAAATATATATAAAAAAATTGTAAAATGAAATTCATCATTAGTGAGTAAGCCTCTTTGATATTCTTTAGAATACTTGAAAAATAAAAGCAAAATCATCGTCATCATCGTGATACAATTCTTTTATATGATCAAAATCCATAAAATTTGTTCCAACCATAACAAGCAAGGTATGTGTGCTTAATAAAACATCAACAACATAACTTTTACTTTGTTTCTGTTTGATCACATGAGAAAATTGGTCAATACACTCAACTGATTTACCATGTCATTTGTTAAGTTTCACCTTACCCCGTTCAAATATTTTATGCCTTTACCATCAACAAACTCTTTAAGACAAAAATAATATTATCCCGTACGCAAAACTCTAATTATAGGATACAATTATTTATCATAAGTTGAATATATAATTGATGTATATTTTCTTAAGTTATCAATAATATATGCAATAAGATGATTTTGTTGTAAAAACAAAACCTTAATTATATTTGATGTACTACATCCTGTTTAAAATGATTTTTAAAATATTAGAAAACGCAAATATGGAAGAATTAGATAAAATATGTTTTAAAGTTGTAAATGAATGCTCTTGCTCCCTTTTAAATTCCACCTGTTTCTTAATAATTTCATTAAAAAGAGATGCAATTATACTAAAATTAGGCACAAACTTACTGTAAAAATTAGTTAACCCATGAAATTTTCATTATTCATTAATATTAGTTATAACACTAGTACAAAATAGGCTTTTAACATCGGTTCTAGAACCGATGTAGATACAACCGATGTGGAAAGTCACACTTTCTACATCGGTTGTAAGGAACCGATGTAGAAAGTCTAATATTTTTTTTTATTTTATTTATTCATAACACATCTCTAATTACCCTATCTATTGATTTAGAGTTTCTTAGACTATCCTCTCCCTTTTATAACCCTTTTATATTATATTTTTATTATTTATATTTTTTAGGAATTTGAATTATTATCCGATTAAGAGAATTGTCATCGCAAGATTCGAACCCAAGTACCTTAGAGTCGGAGGTCGATACTCCAACCACTAAGCTACTAGGATTTTTCGATAATAACTTATACATAAATTATATTTATATACAAATAAAAATGTATATCCATGTAAATATATAAATATAAAATATATAAATACAAATACAAATATATTTATATATTTATATGTTGGATGTGAGGACGCGCTCGAGGATGAAAGTGTGTGTCGAGTGAATTTTTAAAATTTGATGTCAAATTTGTGAGCGGGTCTCTTTATATGGATTATACCTTAATGACAAAATATAATCTTTATAATTTATTTATATAATGATATAAAATAATTTTTTTCTTTATTTTATATCATTATATAAATTAATTATAAAGATTATATTCTATATTATTATAAATAAATTATA